TAGATTCTCAATGAGCCAAGGGATGAAACGTTATCAGACCTCGGCAGGAATGTGAAGCATCCAGATCAGCCATGATCTTATTGAATGGTGGAGCAAGCTCGAGGGTCTGGCGGGCCTACTCTTGCTCCTAATTTGTTTTGATCACATAAAGAAGATGGTGAGAATACCAGCACGGGACCTGTTTGAAAGGGAGAGTGAGGAAGAAATTAAGGGGTGAGCAGTGAGGTATAATTTTTAAGTCACACCAGGGGATGAACGTACTTTCTGATTCCACATTGAGGTAACTTAATCATATTTATCATTTTGCTGATAACCTCCAGTGGTCTCTTTAAAATGTATTGGTTGGGATATGTTTTGCTTGAGAAAACTGCTGCATGCACATTGGATAATCAGATCAGCCAACACCTTATTTAATGGCATAATGAGCTCACGGTCGACATCAGCTTCTAATTCGTGTGTTTGTAGGTTGAATTTGAGCTGCTGTTTGATTAGAATTGGTGGCTAAATCCCGGAAGGAATGGAGCTGGAATTCTAACAAAGTAAGATCAAAGCTTTGAAGGATATTTTGGCTGAAATTGTTGCTAAGTGGGCTACTTAAAAGATCTGAGTGATCTATCTGTGTGTCTAAGGACCATGTCTTTTTGTTTACCCCTATTTTTAAAAGTGGACTGAAATGAAAAAAAGAACTATTTTAAAACCAAGGATTGTTATATAACAAGGTGTGGAGCTGGAGGAACACAACAGGCCAGGCAGCATCAGAGGAGCAGGAAAGCTGATGTTTTGGGTCCACACCCATCTTCAGAAGAAGCATCCAGACCTGAAACGTCAGCTTTCCTGCCCCTCTGATGCTTGCCTGGTTGGCTGTGTTCCTCCAGCTCCACACATTGTTACCTCAGACTCCAGCATCGGCAGTTCCTACTATCTCCAAGGATTGTTACATGTTGTTAAAGTTGAGTAACTTGGTGTTCATTGTAAACATTGTTTATACAGCTGCTTGTTCGAGCAGTGGTTAGCTTGCAGACAAACTGGAGTCAAGGAATTGTGTACAGATGGAGCTTTGGTTGATAGAAGTAGTGATTGCGTTGTGGACTAGTGACTGATTGTCAACGACAAAAGGCCTTCTACTTGCCAACAACTGTGTGATTGGTTCTCAGGTAGCTGAACAGCTTGGACCCATGAACAAGGTAGAAGGAAGATACCACTAGCTCAGGAGTTTTCTTTGTTCTCTGCTGTAAAAGCCTGAAGAAAACCATTTTATCTTTCCTCCAGCAGTTGCTGTAAGCTGTGATTTTTACTTGCCAAGTCAGAGATCTTTTAGAAGTGAACAAGCCACCCTGTGCCTCTGACAAGCCAGTGAAAACATCCAGAGAAGGAAGAACGAGAAACAGCGTTCTGACCAACACAAGAACCATTCAATGGGTGCAATGGGTCTTAGATGATGTTGTAAGCCTTTCCACAGCAACGGGCTGTGTAAATGGAGTCCATGGATGGAAAGTTTCATTCCCCATATATTTTCTCCAGGTTTAGTTCCAAACTTCCCAACTGAAGTAAGGAAATTAAAATGACACGTATCTGATATATAACTTCGTAACCAACAATTTTTTTTAAAATTCATTGTGTGTGTTTCATATGTCAATTTATATCACAGCCATTGAATTCAGTTCAGCAATTCAAATCTGTGAATAAAACATTAAACTTTATTTGTACTTGTAAGCTTGGGAATGAAATATTTAACTGTTTGCACTAGGCCTATGGCCTGAGCAATGGTCAATTTCATTTAAAGCATTTTATTGTAGTTTTATTAGCACTAATGAAGGAAACTCCCTTTCTAGCAAAATATTGTGAATACAAAATATAAAGATTTAGTCAAAGAGTATGGATAGTAAAAGAGCTAAAAGTTAAAACAAAATAGAAAAGGGACACTGACAAATTTCAGAAGCAAGATGCATTTCATAGCCAGGAAGATTTGGGAACTAACAATAAAGGAATTTAAAAAAAGGACAAGAGATAAAGAGAGGTCATGAGAAAAAAAATCAGGCATTATTAAATTGAATCCTTAAGTATTTTAAAAATGTACGTGTATAGTTAAGCATATTAAGGAATCAAAGGGAAAATTTCATATCAAGATGCAGGGTATGGATAAAGTATTACATGGATAGGTTTGTTATCTTCACAAAGAAAGTGGATGATATGAAGCTTATATTCAAAGTGGAGAAGGCAGTTATGGTCAGGATAATAACAGCTGGGGAAAATTATCTAAAACGCTTAATATTACTGGAAATTGGTAAGTAACCTGGTTTAACTAGAATGCATCCTAAGTTGCTGAAGGGAACAAAAGTAGAAATAGTAGAGATATTGATCACAATTTTTCAGTCCTTGTTAGATACAGAAGTGATGCTGGAAGACTGGAGAGTTTTTAATCTACATCATTGCTCTATAAAGGAGAAGGGATAAATTGGCCAACTAAGGCCAGTCAGTCTAATGTTGATGGTGGGGAAATCATTGGAAAACATTATTTGAGACAAAATAAACTTGCATTTGGAAAAACATGGATTAATCATGAAGAGCTAGCATAAAATTTTTAAAAGTAAATTAGTCTCTGACTGAATTGTTGGACTTTTTTGATAACATAACAGAGAATGTTGATCTAGGCAGGATAGCAAGTGTTGTTTATGTGGGCTTTCGTAAGGCATGTGACAAAATGCCACACTGAAGGCTCATTAAGGGGATTGAAGCCCATGCAACTCCAGAGAAAGTAATGGTTTGGATACAAAATTAGCTCCGTGACATGGAGCAAAGTGTGATAGTGATACTGGATAAATGGTTTTCAGACTGAGAGGTAGTTTGGTGTGGTTTTCCCAAGGAACAGTTTTGGGTCCATTGATGCATTATAAGATTTGCAGATGTTATGAAGGCTTGTCAATGTAGTAGGTAGTGGTGATAATAATTATAGGTTTCAAGGCAATATTGGGAAGATGGTGAAATGGTCAAAACCATTGTGGCTTGAATTGAATGTGGAGAAGTGTGAAGCGATGCAGTTTGGAAGAAAAAAACAGTACCCAATAAATGGCACAATCTGAAAGTTCTAGATGAACAGAGGGATCTTGGCAGTCATATGCACAAATCCTTAAATGTAACAGGACAAGAAAAGATGGTTTAAAAGTATAATTGGGTTTATAAATAGAGGAAGAGAATATAAAAGAGATTGCACTAGATCTTCATAATTCATTGATTACACCTCAGGTGATATAATGTAGTCAATTTTGAGAACCACATTTTAGGAAACATGACAAGACCTCTGAATGAGTACAATGGAGTCTTTCCAAGATGTTACTAGCGATGAGGAATTTCAATTATAAAAAATGGTTGGAAAAGTTATGACCTCCTCTATTTTGATCGAACAGATAGCGACAAATCATCCCTCTGGTGAGTGGATCAGTAGCTAAAGTCATTTCGTGGTATTTAAAGAGGTGATGGGGATCTCATAGCTAGCTAGGAAGGTGGTGAGACCCCCATGTTGCCTGAAATGGGATGCTTTGGTTGCACTAAAGAATCAAGGACCAGGGCAATAAAGAGTCAGTACGAGTCTAAAGGCACATACCAACAGTCATTAGACAGCATAAATGTCTTTATTCAATCTCCGATACGTTCTTTTGAGGAAGACTCACCACTTTTAATACCACTCAGACATTTAACTGGACAGTGACTGCCTTCCCTGGATCAAGGACCTTCTGCAGTGTACCAGGGAAACAGTGGCTGTTGTCGTAATCACAGCCATTCAAAATCTATTATCCACTACTAGATCCCAGGCCATAAGTGAGTGATGGCAGGAAGCCAATACAAAGTGGGTTTACAGGGGCTTGGTAGAAAGATGTTTGACAGCAAGAACAGGGCAGAGCTCTTAGTAGGCACCTCCTTCCTTTCCAATGCCTGGTACCTCGATCAAGCACTGAGTACCTTTGAGCAAGTAACCACTTGGGAACCCAAAAGTAATCTACCTGAGATGTTATCTCAGATTCTCCAGCATCTGCAGTTTCTACTATCTCTGAAGTAATCTACCTCACAGATTTGCCCATCATTCTCCCTGCCTTCCAGCAAGTTAACTGCACTGGGCCACATGATGTGGCTCTTAAGTGGTATTATTTGCCCACAAGGTCTGAATTGATGACAGGACAGCCAGGCCGTCTACTGGGCTTCCCACCACACACTTATTCAGAGTGGAGGCAAAAGACCACAGAGCAAGACAATAAATTCAACCCATGGACTGAAAATTGTTGGCTAAAAGTTTGGAGGGAAGGTGAGAATTATTTATCACTGAGAGTTGTAAGAAATTGGAATGCTGTATTTGAAAAACTGGAGGAAGTTGATTCCATAAATAATAAATAAGGCAGTTGAATTTATGAAATTTACAGGTTTAGGAACAAAACGTTGGGCCATGGGACTAAGCATAATTTCTTTTTCAAAGAACTGGCACAGATGCTGTTGGTTGAGTGGCTTTTATATTTATATGAAAATCACCAACCTGTAGTGAGTTTTGGTGTGGGAGATAATCTGACATCGCCCTATTATCTCTAAATTAGTGCATCCTATTGACTCATCATGATAAAGCATTGATGGTAACTCTGAAAATTGTGGTTTAGTGATGAGAGACACATTGAAGAACAATTAGGATGTAAATTACAAAGGGTTAATAATGACTGAGTCCAAATTTTCATTCTGCAATATGCTGGGAAGCATTTATAACTCAATATGATATTGATTAACAGTTTCAAAATCGAACTGCTTTTTCCAGCTTTGGACACTTTTGAATTCTCATCTATCAACAAAATGTTATCAACTTTCAATGTTCTTTGTAACTGTATATCAAAAGGTATTATTTTTATAAATAATTTACAATAGAGAAGCTGGCAGCACTTACACAGACATGCAGGTTCCTCAGTCATCAATAATGTGTCAAAAAACATGACAATAAAACATTTACCTTATCCTGTTCCTGTCAGGGTCCCTTCCGCGATACTGCTGAAGTATTGCAACAGCGCTACAAGCCTTTGGAGCCAACCTTGCGGGTGGCGACATCAATCATGTCTGAGAAGGAGGCCAGAGAGGAGATGAAAAGAGAAGAATGGAGAAATCGTATACATGATGATATGTAAGTCATTGTCTCTAACACCTCTTATATACATTTTCATGTAGTATGCAGTTGTTGCTAGTCTTGAGAATTAATTGTAGTGTGTTATTATTGGTTCAGTAAAGTAATAATACCAATGTTACATTTCAATTTAAAAATAATATACTTCAATTTTATGCAAATGATTGTGTACAGTGGAACAGGGAGACTTAGCAGTTCTATCAGGCCCACCTTGGACCGTAATCTGGATGAAGTACAAGATGCATGTATCTAAAGACATATATGCAGAACCATGGCAAGTTAATCTGCCAGCCTCATTTGTTACTATTATACTTGACAGTTGTAGCCACAGAGGCAACTTGCTGCTGAAGACGGACAATAACTTTGGCCTGTGGGAATGTTGGCTAATGACCTAAGGCATTTCCATGGAGGAAGGAATCAGAAAGGGAAAGAGAGGTGGCCAGAAATACTTTTCTGATGAAGGGTCTAGGCCCGAAAGGTCAGCCTCTCTGCTCCTATGATGCTGCTTGGCCTGCTGTGTTCATCCAGCCCTGCACCTTGTTGTCTCGGATTCTCCAGCATCTGCAGTTCCTACTATCTCTGGCCAGAAATACTTTTGTCCCTTCTTGCTCCACATTCATATAAGTTTACTTTTTAAATGTACTTTTTTGTTGGTTTCCAGCAATTTCTTTAAGAAACAGGTAGACCTGCTAATCATGAAGGAAACAAATCCAAAATTAATTTTTTGTTTGTGTCCTCGAGTGGCAAATGGTTTTGGTGCACTCTATACAGGTTTTGAAGGTTGTCTCACTACATTGGACTTCTTTGGACCTGTTTACTGCCAGTAAACATACATAATGGAGTCAAATTTTACAAATACAATATGGTTACCATGAAAATGAAGTCCATACAACCCATTAAGGTCATCAGACAGAAATATGACTCAACTTTAGAACTAGAAAACATGCCATTCTTTCTGAACTATGTACACTTAATTATGAGTTCAAGTTTACCTTTACCCTGTTTATCAGGAAAACCATTTATATTTGGGCATGAACAAATGCATTTCAAGAAGTAAGGCTGTATCAACTTACTTGTTGGTATGCATAAATATTGAAAATTTGATTTGAAACATGGGTTCTTAACTATACATCATATGCATAGTAAATAATATTTTCTAAACAATGCTAGGGAAACATCCTTTTCCTATAATTACTTATTGCCGTATATAAAAACTACCATTTGCCCTAGTCTGGTCTACTGTGTGCCAACTTCAATTAGCACTTTTCCTTGAGGAGTGCTTTGAAGAATTCACTTGTGCAATACTCTGCACAATCCAACATTCATGAATCTAAAATTGAGACCAATAATGGTTTACTTTCTTTGAATATGAAACCTGTCAGATTTAGACATTTGTGTCGATGCTTTATTCTGGCAGTTGCTTCATGCAGATACTTGCAAAACGATAAAACATTGAGAGCTTTATCTTTAGGGAACTGATGACATAACTAAATATAGATATTAATACTTGAGCTGGAAATAGGAGTTCCAACCCAGATCAGCTAAAATGTTGTCCACTTACTTTTAGAGGCATTTTCTGGGTGAATATCCAAGACAGTTTTCCCAGTTGAAGCAATTCAGTCCACTCCAGCAATCCATGCATGCTCATGGGAGTGCCTCGTAAATGAGGGGTACAAGTGTGTGAGAAATAATATGGCGGGTGGGTGTAGGGGAGGGGTAATTGGTAGGTGGATGATGGGGTACAAGTGACAGATTGGTGAGGGACTGGTGTGGATCTTTAGGAGGGTGAGGTGGGAAGTCATTCTATGCAGGAAGTTGGGTTGTAGCAGTGAACTGGAGAATAGGGGGAAGGTGTGGAAGTGAGAAATCAGGGAATTGTCTGTGGGTCGTTGGAGTGGGTGTCAGTGGACAGGTCAGGGCTCAGACTGGGGTCTGTGTCTGGTATCTGTGGGAGATCTGGGGTCAGGTGGGTGGGACTGTGTCAGGTGTCTGTGGAACGGGGGTCAGTTGTCTCTCGGATCTGGATAGGGATCTCAGCTGCAAGTTGGCAGGGGAGAAGGGTGGCTGTCTTGAGTTGGGAGGGTCAGTTTTACAATTAGCCAGGAGTTAGAGCTATTAAGGTACATCAGAATCCTCTGAATCTGAATCCAGACACGTGGGAAAATCACAACCTGCAAATTCACCTTCGAGCCACTCACCATCCTGATCTGAAAATGTATCACCGTTCCTAGGTTGAAATTCATCAATTCATAGAACCCCTACAGTGTGGAAGTAGGCCATTCGGCCTATCAAGTCCACACCGATTCTCCAAGGAACATCCCAGTCAGATCCAACCCCTGCCCTATCGCCCTAGGCCCACATTTCCCCATGGCTAATCCACCTAGCCTGCACACCCCTGGGCACTATGGGCAATTTAGCGTGGCCACTCCACCTAACCTGCATATCTTCAGACTGTGGGAGGAAACTGGAGCACCCAGAGGAAACCCACACAGACATGGGGAGAATGTACAAACTCAACGCAGTTGTCTGGGGCTGGAATTGAATCCAGGTTATGGGAACTGCGAGGCAGCAGTGTTAAACACTGAGCCACTGTGCCACCCCTGTAACTCCCTCCCTAATGACATTGTGTGTCTACTTACAGCACATAGACTGCAGTGGTTCAAGAAGGCAGTCACTATCTTCTCAAGGGCAACTAGGTACAGGCAATAAATGCTGGCCAAACAGTAACATCAATTTCCTATGAGAAAATTTTTAAAAAAACTTCCAACTCCAACTCAGAGTTGAGGACTTTTTCAGAGTAATCGAGGGGCCACATAATTGTCCATTGGGAATTTCTGCAGTCATCTATGTCAGGACTTCCACATGATGTTAACATACAACATGATGCTTCAGCAGTGACCATCTCCCTATTGGAAATTCTGAGGCATTTTCTTTGCTGTAGCCAAGAAAGGTAGAACCTATAACAAATTAAGCAGTGTTGTCCAACCTTTTCTCATTAGGGTCACAATTCAGACTTTCTCTTGCTCAGGGAACCAGAAAGATTATATCAGAAAAAGAAGAAATTCCACAATAGTGAACATGAATTTCAGGAGAAAAAACAATAAATTGATCATTTTAATCCAGTAGGAATTAATAAAAACGATAATTCAAAAGTGCCAAGCAGCAAACCAGAGGAGAGGTAGTTGTGTTGTGGTATTGTCACTAGACTTGTAAGGCAGAGATCTAGACTAATTCTCTGGAGACATGGGTACAAATCCCATTATGATAGGTGGTGACATTTGAGTTTAATAAATTTGAAATTTCAAAATAAGCTAGTGTAATAACTAATAATGAAACTATTTTTGTGTTTTTGTTTATTAGGGAAGCAGGGCTAGAGAGAGAAAAAGTCAAGGCCCAAGTCTTGATCAGCAGGAAAGGGAATGAGACTGGAGCCAAGCAAAGCAGTGGGGTTTAGCTAGTACTGGCCTTGGTTCTGGTGGGGCACATTCTAAGCTGGCTTCAGCAGAATTCACATTGAAGCGAAGGTCACGATCTGGATGTCAATCGACCTGAGTTCTCCTCCTCTCCCACCCTGCTTTGTATGTGGATTCCTAGAATCCCTACATTTCAGAAAGGGACCATTCAGCACATCATGTCTGCACGGACACTCCGTAGAGCATCCCACCCAGTCCAAGCCCCCTCCTATTGTAACACCGCATTTACCCTGACTAATCCAACTAGCCCGCACACCCCCCAGACACTATGGGGCAATTTAACATGGCCATCCACCTAACCTGCACATCTTTGGACTCCTTTATTCATTCACGGGATGAGGGCATTGCTGGCTAGGCAGCATTTACTGCCCATCCCTAATTGCCCATAGGGCAGTTAAGAGCCAACCACATTGCTTTGGGTCTGGAGTCGCATGTAGGCCAGACCAGGTAAGGATGGCAGTTTCCTTCCAACAAGTTCATTAGTGAGCCAGATGGGTTTTTCCGACAATTGGCAATGGAATCACCGGTATCATTCTTAATTTCAGATATTTTATTGAATTCAAATTCCACCATCTACCATGGTGGGATTTGAACCCAGGTCCTCAGGATGCTACCTGGGTCTCTGGATTAACAGTCCAGTGATAATACTACTAGGCCATTGCCTCCCCATACTGTGGCAGGAAACCCACACAGGCACAGGGAAAATGTGCAAACTCCACAAAATAATTACCCAAGACTGGCATTGAACCTGGGTCTCTGGCTCTGTGAGGCAGCAATGCTAACCACTGAACCACTGTGGGGCAGATGGAAAAGAAGATAGCTGGCTATGTGCCTCGCTCAGTCTCATACACTCATACAGCCAGTTGCTCACTCACTTACTCACTCACTCACTCATTCATCCAGCCATTCCCTTTCTCACATACTCTTTTACTCAGCCAGCCACAATCTCCTGCAATCACACATTCATCCAACCAGCCACTCAGTCTCTCACTCAGGAAACCAGTCACCCACTGCAAGATGTAGGAACAGAAGCAGGCTATTTTGCTGATCGAGTCTTCTCCACCATTCAAGGGAGTGTGGCTGATCCGAAAATCCTCAGTGCTATTTTCTTGCTTTATCCCCATAACCCTTGATTGCTTTATTGATTAAAATCTGTCTATCTCAGCCCTGAAGTAATAAAAACGGCCTCAACAGCCCTCTGTGGGAAAAAAAAAATTCACAGATTCACTAACTCTGAGGGAAGAAATTCCTCTTTGTATCTGTTTTACATGGTTGGTTCCTTATTCTGAGATTATGCCCTCTCATGCTCGACTCTCACTTAAAATTGAATAAATTCTGAGGCCCAGATGAGATGTATCCTCAATTGCTGTGGAAGGCAAGGGAAAAGATTGCAAGGGTAAAATTGATTTTCAAATCTTCTCTGGACGCTGGTGATGCACTAGAGGATTGGAAGACAGCTAACGTGGTACCATTATTCAGGAAGGATGGTAGGGATAAATCAGGGAACTAAATGGCCAGTAATTCTAA